ATATAGTACTCAGTCAGACAAACACCAGAGAATGAACTGAAATGTATCATCAGCTCGGTTCAGATTCAGCCTGGAGAAAATGCTGATTCTTCAATTTTGTGGAGCTTTTAAACCTCTAAAGAAACATCTGGTTTCCCAGTTTTAAGCTGATTCACTGTATTTGGGGGAAGAATATGTTTGAGTTTTAGGTCAGTAAATTTAGTTAGGATTTGGCTCATGAATCAGCATATTAGTATATTATCTTGTCCAACCACCTGATAAAACAGAAAGTTAAAGGCATTCAGGTATTTCTGGGGCTTTTTTGCTGGTACACCCCCTTCCAGGGGATGTGAGAAATCCTCCCTGTCAGTTCCCACACAGCACCTTCTCTAAGAAACTGCCCCACCACCCTCAGGCAGAGGAAGGCCATATGCCCTGTGCTCCCTCAGCATGGATGGATTATTTGATCATCTCTGAAAATTTATCGCATGCTTATGACGCATCAGACACCCTGCATATACTCACATTTGGTGTTATAAACTGGTTATATAGTTACCTCCTCCATTAGGGAGGATTGTATTCTATTTATCTTTGTATCTCCAGCACCTAGCACAGTCCCTGGCCCATAGTAGGTATATGATATGAATTAATGAATGGGTGGATGAGTGAATGGCTTCCCTAAATGGAAACCTCTTTCCTGGATCACATCTACTGATGGAGATGGCCCCACAGCTCCCAGGTCCTGGATATACTGGTTCATAAAATACCCAAGCCAGGAAGTCACCTGATAACCTCTCCTGTCTGCTGAAGGCACTCCATCCAATGCCATTTCAGCAAATGGAGTGTGTCCTGTGTGTACAGCCAGGGAGAGAAAGAAGCAGTGGGGTTATGATGCCGGTCTTCTTGGAGCACCTCCTTCACATACGGAGATGGAATATGCCTGTCAGAACAAACCATTGACCAAACAAGTTGGTCTTTGGTTACATCCAAAAAAGCACAGATTCCAGAAGACAGAAATTCTACTATGGTCTGTGTGAATATGGCTGAGCCCAGAGAACCATACTGAGTTCTGGGAACCACACTTCAAGAACAACATTGGCCATGCAAAATTAAGTCATGTAAGGGACAGCTAAAGGAAGTGGGAGGACTCAGTGAGTGAATGAGGATTTCCTTCAAATATGGAAAAAGTTTTCAAATAGAATCAGACTGCACACCAGTGTGCAAGCCATAAGGAGAAAATTCTAGCTCAACTTAAAGAACTTTGTAATGATTAGAGGTGGTGTAAAGTAGTGAGGTCCTGTCACTGGAAGTCTTCATAGTTATAAAATAAATCACCATCACAGATTGCATTAAAGTAAAAATCCTTCCCAACTAGACTTCTACCACTCTAAGGAAATGAAATAAATTTCTCCTCCTGGTGGGGGAAAAGAAAGAAAAGCTCAACAGCAACAATGGTCTCTACTCATACTGGATGGACAAAGTGGCTTCCAGTTTTTGTTATTATTGACAATAATAATAATAATAATAGTTAATGTACGGAAGAGATCCATATTTATGCCTATTCCCAAGAAAGGTGATCCACCTGAATGCGGAAATTATTGAACAATATCATTAATATCACACACAAGTAAAATTTTCCTGAAGATCATTCAAAAGCGGCTGCAGCAGTTTATCGACAGGGTACTGCCAGAAGTTCAAGCCAGATTTAGAAGAGGGCATGGAATGAGGGATATCATCATTGATATCAGATGGTTCATGGCTGAAAGCAGAGAATACCAGAAAGATGTTTACCTGTGTTTTCTTGACTGCAAAGGCATTTAACTGTGTGGATCATAACAAATTATG